AATATATTTGATGAGAAGAATCTTAAAGACCAAATAAAAGCTTCTCAAGACGAAAGGGAAAGAATAGATTTACTAATAAGTGAATACCTTGATAATTATTCAGTTTCACATAGTGAACGGGCTATCAAGTCATGCAAGGAATCTTTATGGGAACTCGTAGATGATCTTGTAGTGGTTTTTGGAATAGCTGACCCTTATCTTACAAACTGTTTCAAGAATATATACCTACAGAAATACATCAAAAAGGGCTTAATCGGCTGATTGCTTGTTATCCAGATGGGTTAGAATGAATAAAATCGATATATCGACAAGAAGTCTTAGAGATAAAATGTAGAAATCCGCAGGGTAGAAGGGTAACAGGGTTGTTAGAACAAAAATGAAAGATTATAATAGTAAAAAAAGATCAAGACATGAGACTGAAAAGAAAACAAAAATAATTACTAAACCTACACAACAAATAGCAGAATATTCAAATGAAATACTTACCATTGAATCACAATCCAAACGAAGGAAAACAATAGATACAAAACGTAGAACTACTAAAAATGAAACAGCAATTCTTTATGCATTGAAAGTATATAAAAATAACCTTTCAGATGATGCCGTTGCTTCTGTTTGTGAAAGATTATCAGAAGTCTGGATTGTAAAAAAGGTACGAGAATAGTGGAATTATCATAAGGACAAGTGAATTGTAAAAAATTAACAGAAAATTAAAAGAAATATAATTTTTTGTTTTTTATTCTATTGCATATTTGTAATTTCTATAACAATAATATTGATTAAGTAATTGATAAAATAAAATTTAGCTATTTACCGCAAAAATAACTATTCTAACTGCTCTTTAAAGACTAAGTAAACTGATTGCGCTTAAAAAAATACGTATAGTTATGTATTTAAAATAGAATTTGGTAATTGTATAAACTTGCATCTCGAGGTAGAAGTCAAAAAAATAGGGAAAAGTCGGTCATATATAAAGTTGTTTTATAAGTGTTATGCTATTGAAAAAAATATTAGAATGTGTAGACAGAAATCTCAAGAACGAATATTTCTTATGGCTTTTTTGTATATTACTTGGAACAATTTTACGTTGCATTAGACTGTTCATTTCTTATTATTAAGGTTACACAAAATTTCAATTGTGATTGATAGGTGATCTGATATAACCACCGACTGATATATAGTATATTATTAATAATAAAATTATATAAAATAATTTACAATAATAAAATAAAATAATTACTTGTTCATATTTAATTTGATAATTTAAATCATTGTGTTCTTTAATTCAGTATAAATATTCATTAACTAATAGATTAGTTTCATTTTTTATATATAACTATATAAGTTCTAAAGATGTTGCTTAATAATATATATTACAAATTAAATCCTATACCTTATAATAATCTTCACATTTTTTAAAAAAAGTAAGTTAATTTTCACTTTGATATTTCTAACATATTATAAATTATTTAAGATTGATTTCTTTAAATTTAAATATTAAAATAATAATATTAATTTGATCTAAAAATACTATATATTACAAGTAATAATTATATTTAAACTTATCAGTTTAATTTAACATATGCTTGAAGCATATTCATTTTCTCATATAATTATTTAAGTATAATAATTTATCAAGGAAATTTTTTATTTTAATAGCATAATGATATAAAACTCTATCACATACTACTATCATCTTTTTACACAATCCATCTTGAATTTCTAATATTTTTTCTATATGTTGAAAAACCTTTTTAATATTTATTATTGAATTAGATTAATATTTAAGAAATTGGAAATATAAATTTCAGAAATATAACATCTTAATCAGTAATTAATTATTGAGTAATACTTATTTATAGAATAGTAGTTAATATTTCAGATTCTTTTTTAAATTATAAGATTTAAATATAGGTTGTTTAATTGATTTATTTAATAGATTAGTTTTCAAAACTAAGTTTAATTTTTATAATTCTATAAATATAAGTAATCAGAATCAGTATTTAGAATAGAGTTATTTTTGATTTTTAATATTTTTTTATTACAATTTGAACAATATTTGTTATAATCATTATTTGATATAATATTTCTATAAAAATATTAATTTCATTAGTTAAAGCTGATTTTCTTTATATAACAAATCTATAATTTTAGAAAGATAAATATAAAGTTCTTTATCAATCTCTTTTTGCATTTGAGGTGAAAGATCAAAAAGTTCTTCATAATCAAGTTTGGTAAGATATTTATTTAATTAAAGAATATTGGTATGTTGTATTTTATTTTGAGATTCTATATTAAATATAATAAAACTAGTAACAGTATGAACAAATTATAGTGTTAAACCTGTGATCAAGATAATTTTTCTATTCTTTTTGTTTATTATTAAAAGTAATAAATAAAAGTCTATCAAGTAAAGGCTCTTATTCTTTTGATAATTGATTTAAATACTTTTGAAATTGACTATAATATCCTTTATTTGTAATATGTTTATCTATATTAATAACTATTTTTAAATATATTATTAGATATTTTATAGCTGATATTATAATGTTAATCTCTAATACATACTTTTTATAATATGATTTATATATTATATCAACTAACTACTTTTTTAAAAAATTTTTTTGATATAATTCATAAATATTATTATTATTTTGAGTTAAAATTTAATAATTACTTGATTACATTAACTAAGCCAGATTTAGAATATATAATACATAAAATTTTCTAATAAAATTTATTAACATTATTTATTAATAAATTAATATCATTAAATAAATTTTCACATTTGACTAATACAATTTCAATAATAACATTAATTCTTTTTTTCTAACTAAATTATATAATAAAAAAGTATTTAAAAGTTTTTTATCAATTTATTTTTATTTTTTTTTATTTTTTATTTTTTTTTTTAAAAACTACTTTTTAAAATAAGATTTTTTAAAAAGTTAGAGTGACATATCAAATTAATATATATTATGTACTATAAAAACATTTAGACTATTAGCTATGGTAAAGAAGATATTATAATATTTAATAATAGTAATAAAAAATTCAAAAATAAATTCAATAATTTATCATTAATCATAAATTTTAATAAATAATTTATTAACTATTAATTTAGTAGAAGAATAATACATAATTCAATATAATTTAATATATTATATAAATAAGAGGACTAGCATATTTGATTATAGAAAAGTAATTAATAGTTGTAGGTAAAGAATAAGTAAACAATCAATTTTCTCTAAATGTATTCAAAAATTTGATTATTAAATTATAAATATAATTATAAGAAAAGTAAAATTAGTTATTAATTATTAATTATTTTAATTTCAGTATAATTAATAATTAAACTTATTTTAAATTTAACTTTAATAATCATAGAATTTTGATAATAATAAATATAAAATAAACTTTAATTAATCCTGAAAAGGATTATTCTTATTATAAATATATTATTCTTAAACTTCATAAATACTAATCTATATGTAATTATAAAAAATCTATTGATTCAGATTTTATGATGCATTTATCAATTCTAAGGTCAAAAATATATATTACTAATAAAAAGAAAATAAACTTTATCAGTTTAATCTTTTATTTATTTCGCTTAAATTAAGTAAAAAATTGCTAAAATTTCAAACTTATTATTATATTTCTGATCTAAATCTATAGTTTAATTTTTAATTGAATTTTTCTTTTTAGATTTAAATTAACTTCTTTCTAGCTTCTTAGTTTTTTTTATTTATATAAATTGAATTTTAAATATCAAAAATCATTTAATTATTAATTATCAATTAACTAATTTTTTTTTTTTATTTTATTTTTTTAATATTTTATTTTATTATTATTATTTATTTTTTAAAAAATTGATTAATTAATAAACTTTACCTATTATTAATGATAAGTTTTTCAATTATGATACTTTTTAAAACATTTTTCATATTTTTAGTTAAATGGAGAAAAGTAATTAAAATTAAGTCTTTTTAATAATTTTTTGAAAAACTAAACATATTTTTATATATTCTTTTTAAGTAAGCCTTATTTTAAAAAATTCTTTAAAGATCTTTTTATCTTTCAAAGCCATTATATCTTTTTTTATTAAATTAATTCCATAATAATCTTAGTACTTTATTCTTGAAATAAAATATATATATATAAAAAATTAATAATAATAATTATATAAATCTTTAAATTAAACTTATTTATATAAAATCCATATTTTCTTTTTCTAATAATTCACAAAAAGTTTTAATAAAATAATATCTAATTAATCAAATATTAAAATTTTATAATATAATAAAAAAATTATCTCTTTTATCTAATTATAAAGAATATATTTTATTTAGAATTTCTTGAAATTTAGAAAATGAATTCATTTTTTTATATTAATTTTTCTTCTATTTTTTTAAAAGCAGATCTTTTATTCTTTTGAATAGAAATAAAACTTTTTTAGAGATTCTTAAAAATTTTTTAAAAATAGATTTTCATTCTTTTTTATTAATTTTTTCTACTTTTTTAAAAGTAGATCTTTCTTTTTTCTTTAGATAGAAAATAAGTCTTCTTTAAAAATTTTAAGATTTTTTTAAAGTAGATATTGTTTTTTTTACTAACTTCTCTTATTTTAAAAGTAAATCTTTTATTCTTTTATTCTTTTTTACTAATTTTATTAATAATATTTTGTATAAGTTGATCTTTCATTCTTTAAATAAAAGATAAATCTTTTTTAGAATTCTTAAAATTTTTTTAAAGTAGATTTTATTCTTTTTTATTAACTTTCTTTTATTTTTTTATAAGTAAATATTTTATTTTTTTTTAATAAAAATAAGTCTTTTTTGAGATTTTTAAAATTTTTTTAAAGGTTGGATTTTATTTTTTTTTTACTAATTTTATTAACTTTTTCTTTAGAAACACATTTTTTATAAGTCTTTTTGAAATTTTTTTAGAATGTAAATTTTATTTTTTTATTAATCTTATTAATAATATTTTTTTAAGAGCAGTTCTTTCATTTTTTAGATAAAAAAATAAGTTTTTTTTAGGATTTTTAAAATTATTTTTAGTATAAATTTTATTCTTTTTCTCTTTTTTTTTTTTAAAAGCAGATTTTTATTCTTTTAAATAGGAATAAATCTTCTTTTAAGTTTTTTAAGAGATTTTTTAAAATAGATTTTTTTTAATAATTTGATTTCTTTTATTAAATGCTTAGTAGACTTGTGGGTATTATCTCACAAATTAGCTAATTCTTACTTTTTTTTTTTAAAAAAAATAAACATGATTTTTATATGTTGTATAATATTTTAAGCATTTTTTCTATATAGTAACTCTAATATAAATATAATATTTTTTATTATTAATTTCTCATATTTTTATCAATCTATTTAAGTTGCTTTTAATAGAATTGATTTTTAAAGTTTATAAATTAGTAATTCATAAAAGTTTTTAAAAAAGTTTACTTTTTTAAAATGAAATATTTTAAAGATTTTCTTCTTTTTTGACAAGTAAAAAAAAAAATAAAAAAAAAATTAAAAAAGAAAAAATGATCTTAAATAATTTCAAATAATCTTAAATAATTTTAAATAATATTATTTTTATTATAAAATAATTATATTATATTTTTTAAAAAAATCATATAATTATAAAATAATCAATTAAAATTAAGGT